GCTCCTTAATGGAAGACTTTAGAGCAGCTCCAGTGCCTAAAGGGGCTACAGGAAACCTGATCAAGGGCTTTGGCCAAGGGATGTAGGGACAGGACAAGGGGAAATGGCGTTAACCTGCCAGAGGGTAGACTGAGATGAGCTCTTAGGCAGAAATTATTCCCTGTGAGGGTGTTGAGACGTTGGCACAGGATCCCCAGATGTCGTGGTTTAAGCCCAGCCAGCAACCCAGAACCATGCAGCCACTCGCTCACTTCCCTATTTTCCTCCCCCTGCTCCCAGAGGGATGGGGAGGAGAATCAAAAGAATGTAACTCACACAGGTTGGGATAGGAACAGTCAGTAAGTAAGGTGTAACACAAACCACTAGTGCTATCACCAATAATAATAATAATGGAAATAAGAAGGGAAGAGAATACAACTGCTCACCATCTGTTGACTGATACCCAGCCAGACCTGAGCAGTGATCTAACCCTTCTGGGTAACTGCCCCCAGTTTTTATCGTGGGCATGATGTGTTGTGGTATGGAATACCTCTTCGGCTAGCCTGGGTCAGGTGTCCTGTCTCTGCTTCCCCTCCTCCTTGGCAGAGCACGAGACTCAGAAAGTCCTTGGTCAGAGTAAACATTACTGAGCAACAACTAAAAACAGTCGTGTTATCAGCGCTGTTCCCAGGCTGGAAGTCAAAACACAATGCTGCACCAGCTACTAAGAAGGAGAAAAATGACTGTTACTGATGAACCCAGGACACGAGAGAAGCTGTGGCTGCCCCATCCATGGCAGTGTTCAAGGCGAGGTTGGATGGGGCTTGGAGCAATCTGCTCTAGTGGAAGAGGTCCCTGCCCATGGCAGGGGGTTGGAAGTAGATGGTCTTTAAAGATAAGTTTCAGCTCTAACAATTCTGGGATTATATGATTTTTCTCACTAAAAATTAAATTATAATTTACACGGGAGTTAATTCAGGGGATGTCTATAGTCCCTGTTAGTACAAGAGGGTTAAAACAAATGATTATAATTTTCTGTATCTATAAACTGTTAATCTGGCTTTTTAGTTTTTCCTGTAGCTATTAAGGCTTTGACTGTATCAGAATGCAGGCAGGGACATCCAATATTAAAAAAAAAAAAAAGATACCTGATAATGTTTCAAGTAAGACATCCAAAACCTGTAGTTTCTTTTGTTGGGTTTTTGGTTTTGTTTCTGGGTTAAAGAACTCCCTGATTACTTACCTGCATGGTCTTTATATTTAAAATATTGTGGAAACACAATTTCCATACTTTATTCTCAGTGCTACAAAATCACAAAAGCCAAAATCCACCAGTGGGACTTATAATAAATGCCTGGAGCAATGTATAGATACCCCAGCTGCTCCAGCCAATGAGCCGGCTTCAGTTGGAGCTAGGCTCAGATGCCGCTATACAAACTCCTGCAGCATGGGGAACAAACAAGAGGAATTAGAGATGTGGGCACGTCTATGGGGATATGATATAATAGGCATCACAGAAACATGTTGGGATGGCTCCTATGACTGGAGTGTTGGAATGGAAGGTTACAGGCTCTTTAGGAAAGACAGGCCTGGCAGGTGGGGAGGGAGAGTTGCCCTTTACGTTAGGGGCAGGCAGGAGAGTATACAACTCTGTCTGGGGACAGGTGAGCAGTCCACAGAGAGTTTGTGGGTCAGGGTTAAAGGGAATATAGCTATGGGAGACATTACTGTGGGGATCTGTTACAGACCACCTGATCAAGGAGAACCTGCTGATGAAGCACTCTATAGACAGATAGGTAAAGCCTCACGCTCACAGACCCTTGTTCTCATGGGTGACTTCAGCCACCCTGACATCTGTTGGAAGGATGGTACGGCCTGGCAGAAGCAATCCAGGAGGTTCCTCGATTGTGTAGAAGCCAACTTACTTCTGCAAGTAATAGAGGAGCCGACAAGGAGAGGTGCCATGCTTGACCTCATGCTCACCAGCAGGGAATGACTCGTTGGAAATGTGACTCTCCAGGGCAGCCTTGGATGCAGCGATCATGAGATGGTGGAATCTGAGATCCTCAGGACAGTGAGAAGAGCATGCAGCAAACTCACTGCCCTGGACTTCAAAAGAGCAGACTTTGGCCTCTTCAGGAACCTGCTTCAGAAGGTTCCATGGGATACAGCCCTAGAGGGCAGAAGGGCCCAAGACTGTTGGTTGATATTCAAGGATCACCTACTACAAGCTCGGGAGTGTTGCATCCCAACCAGAAGGAAGTGCAGCAGGAGGGCCAGGAGACCTCCTTGGATGGATAAGGAGCTCCTGAGGAAAACACAAATGAAAAAAAGAGGCTTATAATAAGTGGAAGCAAGGACAGGTGGCATGGGAAGAGTACAGGGATGTTGTCCGAGAAGCTAGGGACCAGGTTAGGAACGCTAAGGCCAAGTTAGAATTAAACTTAGCTAGAGGTATTAAAGATAACAGGAAGGGATTCTACAGGTACATAGCAAATAAAAAACAGACTAGGGAGAATGTAGGCCCCCTCAGGAAGCTCTCAGGAGAACTGGCTACGCAGGATTTGGAGAAGGCTGAGGTTTTGAATGACTTCTTTGCCTCAGTCTTCACTGGCAAAGGCTCTGACAGCACCACCCAAGTCTTGGAAGGCAGATGCAGGGACTGTGAGAATGAAGACCTTGCGCCCACTGAAGGAGAGGACCATCTTAAAAATCTGAATGTGCACAAGTCCATGGGTGCTGATGAGATCCATCCATGGGTCCTGAAGGAGCTGGCAAATGAAGTTGCTAAGCCGCTGGCCATCATATTTGAAAAATCATGGCAGTCAGGTGAAGTTCCCGATGACTGGAAAAAGGGAAATATAACCCCCATTTTCAAGAAGGGGAAAACAGATGACCTGGGGAATTACAGACCAGTCAGTCTCACCTCTGTGCCTGGCAAAATCTTGGAGCAAATTCTCCTGGAAGGCATGCTAAGGCAGAGGAAAATCAACAAGGTGCTTGGTGACAGCCAGCATGGCTTCACTAAGGGGAAATCCTGCCTGACCAATTTGGTGGCCTTCTATGATGGGGCTACAGAACTGATGGACAGGGGTAGAGCAGTTGATGTCATCTACCTGGACTTGCACAAAGCATTCAACACTGCCCCACACGACATCCTTGTCTCTGAATTGGAGAGACATCAATTTGATGGATGGAACTCAGTGGATAAGGAACTGGCTAGATGGCCGCACACAAAGAGTTGTGGTCAATGGCTCAATGTCCGGCTGGAGACCAGTAACGAGTGGTGTCCCTCAGGGTTCAGTGTTGGGACCGGCCTTGTTTAACATCCTCATTGCTGGCATGGACAGTGGGATTGAGTGTGCCCTCAGCAAGTTTACCAATGACACCAAGCTGTGTGGTTCAGTTGGTACGCTGGAGGGAAGGAATGCCATCCAGAGGGACCTTGACACGCTTGTGAGGTGGGCTGATGCCAACCTCATGAAGTTTAACCATGCCAAGTGCAAGGTCCTACACCTGGGTTGGAGCAATCCCAGGCACAGCTACAGGTTGGGCAGAGAAGAGATTCAGAGCAGCCCTGAGGAGAAGGACTTGGGGTGCTGGTTGATGAGAAAATGAACATGAACCGGCTTCAGTGTGCGCTCACAGCCCAAAAAGCCAACCGTATCCTGGGCTGCATCAAAAGGAGCACGACCAACAGGTCGAAGGAGGTGATCCTGCCCCTCTACTCTGCTCTTGTGAGACCTCACCTGGAGTATTGTGTGCAGTTCTGGTGTCCTCAACATAAAAAGGACATGGAACTGTTGGAACAAGTCCAGAGAAATGCCACAAGGATGATCACGGGACTGGAGCACTTCCTGTATGAAGACAGGCTGAGGAAGTTGGGGCTGTTCAGCCTGGGGAAGAGAAGGCTGCGTGGAGACCTCATAGCAGCCTTCCAGTATCTGAAGGGGGCCTATAGGGATACTGGAGATGGACTCTTCATTAGGGACCATAGTGATAGGACAAGGGGTAATGGGTTAAAACTTAAACAGGGGAAGTTTCGATTGGATGTAAGAAGGAAATTATTTCCTGTTAGGGTGGTGAGGCACTGGAACAGGTTGCCCAGGGATGTTGTGAATGCTCCATCCCTGGCAGTGTTCAAGACCAGGTTGGACGAGGTCTTGGGTGATATGATTTAGCGTAAGGTGTCCCTGCCCATGGCAGGGGGGTTGGAGCTAGGTGATCTTAAGGTCCTTTCCAGCCCTAACGATTCTATGATTCTATGTTCTCTAAGGAGAAGGCTAACCAAACTTCTGAATGGAGAGTAGTGCAGCATTACTTACTGTCTTATTTTTTTAATTCATCTCCTTTTCCACCACTTAATAAATTTAGGAGCAGACTTGATTGAAGCATTTCCAGACAAAAAATATCCAAATGTTACTTGTGGAGGGCAAACTTCAGATCTCAGGCCTTTGCCATCTAAGCATGAGGCAATCTAATGGTAAAAGTCCCCTTCTATCATTTACCTGAACATGGGTAATGCCACGTAGCCTACTGAAGCATTCAGTTTGCATCGAGACAGCCAAAAAGCCTGAGAAATGAAACAGTTGAGCAGTAATTTTGTTTTATTAGGCAGCTTTGTTCTCCTCCCAGGTCTCACTGGTGTGACTTAATGTCTTCTCACCATGAAGCTGATAGGTGGTACTTAGCTCGTAAAGGGAGCAGAAAGGGGAATTTGCTTATAATGAGGCTTGTGATCCAAACAACAACAACAACAAAAGAAAATCACCAGTAGCTGTAAAACAGCAGGCAGTAAAATTTAGAATGTCTGGACTTGTAATTTTACTCACTTCCCTACTGCGAAAGTTCCTTCCTTCCTACCACTTTCTCAGAGGTTCAGTGTCCTGGGTTTGCTCCCTGGAGTAAGAGAAAGGCCATGAGTTTTCTTAGCAATGCATGAGTCTATATCAGCTTTCTTTACAGAGAAAAAAAAAGCCCCAAACAGCCCAAAACCAACAAAAAACAAATACAAAGCTTACCAGAACAGGGGATGCTGCAGTCTTTCATTGCATCTTCCTCAAACTGAAGAATATCACGGAGAAGCAGAAAAAGCCTAAAGCGTTGTCATTGCATATGATCCTCCTACAGTAATTCTATGCCTTTCCAGCAGTGATTTAAGACCACACTGCCTGACAAAAAAGCAAGAAGAGAAAATAATTTCTTTTTTAAAAGCGTAATATACGTATGCTTTCTATTGTAAGGGGGGATAAAAACTTTTCTGCCTACAGATAGTGTGAAATTCCTCGCATGGAAACAGCAGGCTCTTCTGTTTTCCTAGCTTTGGAGTCATGGGGACTTCATGATATATTACAAGACTTCCATGTTTCCCTATTCCACCATTAGGTCATACTGTTAGTTACAGCCTCAGGTGGCCTCATCTGTACACATTAAAATGTAAATGTTAGGATTGTCATGCTTTCAGACTTTAATCATCTGCCTTCCCGTCCTGTGGAGCAACTAGCGATCACTAACAACCTTTCCTCTGGTGTATTCCATATGGAGACCAGGAGTCAGTGTCTTTTTCTAAGACTAAGGCACCCTTTCCTTCCTAGCCTTTAAATGTAGAGTGATAACATGGACACATCTCCCAGGAATCTTTAATTAAACAGAACAGATCAGGGGAAACAAGCATTTTTACCTCTCATGCTACAGCCCAAAATCACTTCTAACCTTGAAGACACTGCTTTAACTTGACATCAGAAAACCTCCACAAATTGCGTCTCTGACAATTACAGGAACCTCCAGGAGCTAACGAGGGAGAAAAGAGTGCCAGAAGGAAACTGTGTTGCAAATATGCCACTGCCCAGCACAGGAAGTAGATGAAAGAGCCTGATAACTCTAACATGAAAAGTAGGTCTGGGGAAGCATGGTGGAGCACAGAGAGCAATTAGAGGGGGTCATTTGTACCAATATTTGCATTTTTTCTTACTCTGATCTTATTGGAAGTTAATGGGAGTGCCTTCAAATAGTATATGTAAAATGGTACAATGCCGAATTGCAGAAAATGTATTATTATGCTTATTATGACGATGATCATCATAATTACTGTTGCTTAAAGTGTGGAAAAAGAGAGAGAAATCTGCCCCAAAACCTTAAATGCCATCCATTGAGCAAAAGGACACTAGTGGTTAGCTTCACTCAGCACTGTTCAAGAGTTATAGCAGTTGTCTCATTGTGCAGCTGTTAAAATCCTCTCAGATTTCTACATCAGGGTGAGTTTAAAGGTGGTTTCAAGAAGGTTAATGAAGTGTCTCAGCAAATATTCATTATGTCTAGCTTTTCCATTGCATGCAAGGCAGCATCAGAAAAAAACCAAAATTGCTTATTGAAAACATTAGAAAGTACAAATGTACCATGGAAGAGAAAATATTGTTAAAAGCTGAAATATTTCCTTATTATTTTTACTTTAGGAGCAGTTTTTTCAAAGATTCACAAAGTGTATCAGAAAAACTTCAATCACAAAGTATGTATTCTATCATTCTTCAACTATTCCTCTCACTTGGAAGGACTCTTATGCTCAAAGCTGCTTTTGATATTTGGAGATCTTGGGTATGAAAGTTCATAGAATCACAAAATCATAAAAAGGTTTTGACTGGAAGGGACCTTAAGCATCATCTAGTTCCAAGACCCTTCCATGTGCAGGGACAGCTTCCACTAGACCAGGTTGCTGCAAGCCCTGTCCAACATGGCCTTGAACACTGCCAGGGATGAGGCAGCCACAGCCCCTCTGTGCAGCCTCTGTCAGGGCCTCACCACCCTTACAGGGAAGAACTTCTTCCTAAGATCCACCTAAATCTACCATTGAATATCTTGGCCTTCTCCATGTCTCACATAACCAGGTCTCCCATTTCATTAAAGAAGGGGCCTAAATTTTCCCTTGTCTACCTTTTATCCCCAGTGTTCCTATAGAAGTTTTTCTTGTTGCCCTTAAAGTCCTTGGTCAGATTTAATTCTGTCAGGGCAATAGCTTTCCTAACTTGATCCCCGGCTGCACTGTCTCTTTATTCTTCCCAGGTTTCCTGTCTTTGCCTCCACCTTCTTTAGGCCTCTTTTTTATGCTGGAGTTTATCCAGGAGCAACTTGTTCATCCACATACACCTTCTTGCATTCCTGCCCTACTTTGTAGAGATATGTCACTCCTGAGCTTTGAAGAGGTAATCCTTGAATATCAACCAGCTTTCTTGGGCCTGTCTATGCTATGTTACTTCCCTCTATGTTTTCTTGTTTTCTTGGAAGCTCCAAAGAATCTACAACAAATTTTGTTTTCTTATGGTCCTAATGTGGCCTAAGAGGTTATTAGACATTGATTACTATACAGGCACATTGATAGCTCCTGTTCAACTTGCTGCCCATGAGAACTCTCAAGCCCCTTTCTGCAGAAGACTTGGCAATTCCCTTTGCTGTACTCACAAGATTCCACTGGGTCCATTTCTCCAGCCTATTGAGGTGTCTCTGAAAGAAGATGCAACCATATGGTATATCAGCCATTCTTCCCAGTGTTGCATCAGAACCACACCATCATGATAATTATATGCTTCTTTCTCTGGAAGAATCCCTCAGCTACCCAGATGAGTCAGGCCTTGTATTTCTGAGGAGACAGGTTTTAGCTTGGTTTCCTAAAGGGAAAATGTTCTTCCAGTCATGATCTTATTCTGCCTTTCCAGCTGTCAGTAAATTTAACTTTCTCTAATAACCTTTAATCTTCTTGTCAGATGCAATGGAATTTGAAAAAGGTTGAATTTTGAAAGATATTGAGTTCCCATACAGCTGAGTGAAGGAAAGATAAAATTGAATGCTACTACTGAAGAAAAAGTAGCAAAAACTCAGCTCTCATCCAGTTAATTTGAATGGTAACAGCAGATGGCAGATCAAAAAATACATATTTGCAGGTTGCCTGCAGTATATTCCAACTATTTCCCAAGGGTAAGCCAAAAAAAATATATAGACAGAAGAGAGGGTGAGAGCTTAGGCATTTTGTGAAGAGAAATTAATCAGCATTATGTAGAAAGATTATTCACATGGTGAAAGGTGTTAAACAGAGTCGAGGAGGCTGGGGAACAGATGTGCATAATAGCCTAGAAGACTTTGGGAACATGAGAGAAACCTGGTAGTACTCACTTAAAACGTATAGGAGTGCTGAGGGAAATGGGAAACTGAGAATCATTGGAAAAAGTGGAAGGACTCAGAGTTCTTGTCAGAAAAGTGGCAAAAGAGACAAAGGTTAGCTTCAAACCCATTAGCTTCATTAGGTTCATTACTCACAGATCAACTTCTACCTATTGTGTAGCTTGTTTGATAATAAACATTTCTGCCTCTTCTTTCCTGCAAATCAGCACAAATTATAGCATAGTATGTAATTTAATTTGATGGCAGCAGGAATGAAGGTAAACAGTAGAAATACTGAAAAAAAGAGAACAATTAACAAGTTGAAATTATGTGAGAAATTGTTAATATTTTCTGTAGACATAAACAATTGGTATAAATGAGAATATGATAAAGATAATTATTTCAATGGGATAAGGCCACTGAACCGAAGAGTTTACCACTGTACCTTTGATTTCAATCCATCTGCATTATTTCACAGGTCAAGAATCTGTCCTTAGACTGATTATAATTGTTGAGCTGAAGCATTTTATTTGCAAATACATATTTTGTATCATATTTTTACTGTTATAATAACAAATAAGGCAACTAAACATGATGACCTGTTGGTAAAGAGATTGTGCTAGTGCAATATTGAATGCAGGAGATGGAGATAGATGCTGGCCATGAAACTGTATGTAATAGATGGGGAGAAATTCTACCACTAACTACCTGGATGATTTGTTTGCTTTCACATTTACAGGGAGAAGCTATCAGAAGTAGATTAATGCGGAAGGGTCCTCCACTAGAGTACAGATCAAAATGTTACATGTCAGCTGGAGAAACCTGAGGAACATTTGGCTATGGCAACTTCTCCTTAGGTTTAATTTTGTTTTCCGAAAGCACTTTTTGCACTTGTTGGGAGGTAGTTTCAAAACCAGTCACACCAATTATTCACTTGCTAGGATCCCCTCTGCAAGAGATAGTGAGAGATAGTGACCATCATAAAAATAAACATTTTCCTCTCCCTTCTGTGCTGGCTCTGGATTATTATGAAGGAACAGTACTATACAGACATAACTTTTTGCAAGGGTGTGCTCAACATTGTCATATTATTATGGAGGAACTGTACTATACAGACATGTCTTTTTGAAAGGGTCAAACATTGTCATATTCTGGTATCCTGTACTCGGTTGTTCCTCGGTTATTCTATCACATCCCTCCCAGACACTCTACAGTGTGCATCACTCACCTTTTCTACTATTCAGTGTTTTTCTCTTGCTAGGGAATGAGATAGTTTTTATCAGTGTCCAGTCTGAGATATCTACCTTGGGCCATGAACCAGTCGTTGTTGACTAGCAAAATGCAGCTGCTGATCCTTTCTGTAAACATCCTCCTTTTTACAGCACAGACATCTCCTTCCCCATTTACAATTACCTCAAATGCAGTACCCTTTATATAGCTTTTGCTGATTGAACATCTATCATCTTTTTTCCTTACTTCTTTTACCCATTATACAAGTAGTGATGTGGGCTGCATCAAAGTGAACTCATTTTCTGAGATCTGATCAAACTACTAATGGCACGCAGAACACAATGCTTCCCTAATGTTTCTTTCCTCTACACCTACATTTTTTATTCCTTTCAATTCTCTGATGCCCTTCTCTTGTCTCTTTCTACCTAGTTCACTGTTTACAACATCTGCAGCATCTTTTATCTCTTTGCCACCTCTTTTTCAGCTTCTCTCTTCCTGTCAAAATCTCACTGGCATGGCTTCTTTGTCTTTTTAAGGCATTGATATGATTTTTTTTCATATATATATATATCCATTTTTAACACATTTTTCTTGTCAATTTACAACATTTTTTCCTCTGGCTGTGTGTGGTGCCAGTACAACTGAACTGTCTTCTCTGATATGCTCCTTTTAAAAATATTTCTATAAATTTTATTTTCATATCACCATTTCTAACTTGTCTTTATTCCACTAGCAATTTTATTTAATAAATCAAAAAATGTGTGGACAAATCAGCCATCTATTTCCACTCAGA